ATTATTCTTATCGCGAGCAATATTGTACAAGGCTGGATACTGTTCTCAGAGGCTGGCATCGCCTAGCCCGATGTCTTCCCAAAAACGAATCTTCGACCCATCCTTTACCGCAAAAGACCCAAAGCGAAAGAGATGTTTCTTTGCCGCCATTAGGCCAGCCCAAAAGTGCGACTCGCCAGATTTCTAATATGTCTGAGACACCGCCTTGTTGCCTAGATACTTGTTGTGTAGTATGGTTTGCCAAACACCATCCTCAGTAAGAAGTTTGAATAACCATTTACTAAGGAGAGCCTCATTCTTAACCTGAAGGTCATGAATTCCAAGGCCACCTTGGTCTTTCCACCTACAAACCACACTCCACTTGACTAGTCTTTATTTTTTCTTTTTCCCGTCTCCTTGCCAAAAGAATCTGGATCTAAAATAGTCCATTCTTTATAGGACCCTTTTGAGAGTTGGAAGAAAGAAAGTATATAGAGAACCATATTTGTGAGGACAGAGTTAATCAAAACCAGCCATCCTCCAATAGAGAGCAGCTTGCCTTTCCAGCTGCTCAACCGACGTCCTGTTGATTTTGGACACGTCGGATAGAGTTCTCCGCTCAGTGAGCTATGCGAAACAAATGGCATTTTCATTTTCTTCCTCCGAGCATATAAAAGGGGAAATGATAACTGGGAAATGTTCCATGGGAGGTACTACGAAGGTCACAGGAACGCCCCCAAGCTGTTTGATCATGACCGAAACGTGGCAATTTTTTCTGCCTTTTTTAGCTACATGGCAGTTTCCGCCTACGAAGTTGGCAAATCTTACAAAATTTTCACGACAACTTCAGTTGGTTTAGCATGGAAAATTTGAGAAAAACACTCCTATGACTCCCCAGATATTCCGGTCCTATAAAAGAGGAGTAAATGGCACCTGCAGTACCACAACTTGTCGGACGGGGCACACTTTAGTTGCACAACTCGCAAAACGAAAGAACTTGTCACAGAACTTGTGATGCGGGTGCGCTCTGGTCACAAACTTGCCACGTCA